GTCATGTTAGCTGTGGTTTGCTGCTGAAAAATTGGGAGTGCTAAAGAGTGTGCTGACAAACTTGGTTTTACGATCCCAAAATGAGACATTTCAAATATGACCGAAATGGTGCAGAAGAGACCTACATCTGCGTTAAATGTAGTTAGTTCAATGATCACAGCCCACGTTTTTTCATCAAGCCAGTTGCTCTGTTGTAGAGCATCCAGCCTGGTCGTTGAGTTGTGTCTTCCTTCTTCGATCCCAAAATGAGACATTTCAAATATGACCGAAATGGTGCAGAAGAGACCTACATCTGCGTTAAATGTAGTTAGTTCAATGATCACAGCCCACGTTTTTTCATCAAGCCAGTTGCTCTGTTGTAGAGCATCCAGCCTGGTCGTTGAGTTGTGTCTTCCTTCTTCAGGGAAAAAGTAAAACGTGTATCCTGCTGGTCCGTATGTGTGCAAATCTCCGTATGAATAATACATCCACAGAGTGCTGTTCCGCTGGTAGGTGAACCCATCATAACCGCTGGCATCCTTGGGAGCAGACTGGTTGGCCACCTTTGTCCAAGCGCCAGCATAGTCACCTTTCTCTGGGATGTCGCTACCGTATTTGTGAAGACAGTGGCTTTTACTGATCACAGAATTATTTCCAAAGCTGTGAGGACGGAAACAGTTTTTCACAGTACCCTTAGCCCGCACTTGCCTCATCCTAGGCAAACCGATGATTTTGGACCAGCTCTCGGAAAGAAAGGTTGGCTGAATGTCATTGTGGATCAAAGGCAAGAACGAGTCTTTCACCCACACGTAGACATGTTCTGGCTTATCTACACTGGAGAGTTGTGGAGACAGTTGGTTATGGATGAATCGGTTGTAGTGGAAACTGTTGGCGTTCTCAGTGGAATAGGCAAAATATAACAGCAGCGTTAAAAAGACAAGGTGACTGGTGAAACCTTTTATGAAAGTAAATGCCTTGACTTTAAGTTTTGCCCTTTTCAGCATGTTTGCAATTTCATCAGCTGCTAAAGGCTTATATTGCTTAGTGCCTCTGACTTTAGCAAGTTTCAAGTGCACCTCTTGCATCTCATCAGCACTCATCATTTCTTTAGCAAACTTGCTCTCAGAATACTTTCCCCGAGTTAACCACGTGATGTTTTCACAGTATTTTGGATGAATTGTACTCACAGCTGAGAAAAAACTGGTTTTTAGAACGGAAAGGAGACACACGTTCTCAATGAAGGAGATTGCAGATGCCAAAAGCCACTCTAGCGACGTCTGATAGCCGTAAGACAAACCATATAACACAATGAAAAATGATGATACCCCGGTTACAGCTATAACTAGTGCCCACGAGAGATAGGCACACCACCAACAAAAAGCTGTGTGCGGTCTCTTGTGAAAGGGCATGGAGGTAATGCTCAGTGGTTTCCTTTCTTTCTGAAAGTTGCCCCCTTCTTCTGCATAATTATTACTAAAATCGGAATTTGATGGTGGCCTGGTCTGGCAGACCTTAGGCGTTGGAGGGGAATTTGCAATGATCGTCTGCTCTTCTGTTTCAATCACATTTGCGTCTCTTTCAGAAACTGTGCAATTACTCCAGGTTTGGGGAGCTCCTCCCTTGCTTCCCATCTTTCTGGAATGTGGTGGGCTCTGTGAGTGGCTGCTGGCGCCAGGAAGATTCCCCGAGGGACTAATATTTCTCGATTGTGGTGAAGTTTCTGAAAGGTACAATTTTTGCAAACGTTCCTTCCAGTTTTTAAGATACCCAGACAGGAGGGGTGAATTTGCCTTTGGGTCTGTCTGAGCCACACCACGAGGAGAAGGTCTCTTCGAGGAATACTTAAATAAGGCAATTATCATCATTTCCACAGGTTGGGTAAGCAAAGCACATTCAATTCCTACTGTTATTGATCTCAGATACCTCAAGTGTATTGGAGCTTCTTCACTCTTGTCAGCATTAAAGAAGATTATGTTAACTAGCAAGTTTAATAATAGTATTGCTAAACAAGAAGACAACCTTTGGAGCCTGCTGAAAGTGCCCATGAGACCATGAGCAAAAATCGAGAGCCACAGATGGCCCTGTATCAGGCTGTTGGCAAAATTAATCAAAAAATAGTCAGTTTTGGGCAGAGGTGTCTTGGGGTTTGTGACAGCAAATGTCCTTTCTAGTAAGTGATCGCCCTTGTCAAGAGAAAGCCATTTCCTGCATATAAAGAACCAGGTCTTCCCGGTGGACATATTCTCAACTTTGGCTCTGCTTAAGAACCAGCTTGGAGATGGGCCCCTGTTGTTGTGCCAGACCCTGAAGGAGCAAATGTCTCCCAAGTCTTTTTTAGCAGTTAACAGAAAGCAATCAGTGCTTCCTCGTTGGAAAGACAGAAAATGTGGGTCCCGTAAACAATGGACATCACTTGTGCCGTTCTGGCCAATGAGCTGAAGAAAGACATCTGCTTTGGTTCCAGCTCCCCAGCGACTGCCTGTGTATAAAGTGACCAAAAAGCTCACTTTATCAAAGGGGTCGTTGTCTGCCAGAACTATAATCTTGTCTTGTCTTTCCCTGTCAGCCCTGTCTTTTCTCACGACCCAGAGGGCCAAAAGAAAGTAGACGGCAAAAATAAAGATGACTGCTAAGAGGGTGACTGGGTTTTTAGATACGTCTGCTATCAGGGTTTTTCCTAGATCTACTGTGTTGGGGGTAACTATTACCTTGGCTGCCAGGAACCTGATGCTGAATGAGGATGCATTTGACCCAGTGTGGACTGACAGACTTCTGCGACTCCGCTTCATATTGCAGACACAGTGTACCCTCTGCCAGTCGGTCAGGGAGCCAAGCCTGCAGGTGTCTTCTCTCCACAGGCTTTGAACGCCATCCAGAAATAAGCACTGATCACTAAAAATGTGTATCGTCACCAGTCTCTGCGTTTGATACCGTACAACATAGGGTGCCAGCAAGACGATGGAGATGTTACAAGTGTCTGTATCGCTTCCTTGAGCTGTGGCTGTCAGCAGTGACTCTGGGAGGCAGATGATATAGGGAGCCTTAATGTTACAGTCAGCGCTAGCTGTCGTGTTTTTGCTTGCAACTGTTGGCATGTTGTGAAAAGCAGCAAACGAGGCTATGGGATGAGCACGAGTGACGTTGGCACCTGTAAATACTAGCACCTCGAAAGCAACTTTTAATTTCGTCAGGATCTGGATGTATATGCTCTTGGTATTTCTGTTGACTTCAAAACTAAATCCTCCAGTTGTGTAAGCTTGTGTTTTATCGGGTCCCATTGCCAACTGAAAAGTTGAAGACTCCTTGTCTTTCCTAGCAATAGTAATTTCTGCTCCTTCAGGCGCGATCCCTAGGAGATCGCCATTAGCCTTTGTCTCTGACATTTTGAACCCCAAGATCATTGTTGCAATTTCTGATGTGTAACCTAACCAGGGGAAGGGGTTCTCATCAAACTCATAAAGGGCAGTGGAAATCACAGCATCATCGGGTGATCCTGAATAATCTCCCTTTTTCAGTGATGGATAAAAGCAATTCCTGCAGGCGTTTCTGGTAGAGAAAGAATTTGTAAGGTTCCAGGTTTCGTCTTTCTTCAGAGTGATATTCCAGTGTTTTGTTTCCAGTAGAGTTTCTGTTTCTCCAGGGACTTTGCCCTGGAAAACTATCTCCGTTAAATTTTCCATGATGGAGAAGACTTGTTTAACTCCGCTTACATTGATGTTCCTGCGATGCAGAAGAGCGGCTCTCAGGATGTTGGACAAGCATCTTAGTATTCCACTGGTCTGAATTTCTGCCTGCTCAGACCAATGGCTCTCATTCCTCTGGACCTTCAGCACTCCCGTTACTTCTGTCAGCTTCTCAATGGCAAGGTCTTGTGATGTAACGTTCACTTCGTCAGCTTCCTCTGTGACTTGAGAAAGAGAAGCAACTACTTGGTTGATTTCCATCATGCTCTCAACTGAAATATTCAGGGCTGTTCTAATCAGGCTTTCCCGAAACTGAGCCTTAGGGAGCTGGAGAGTTGGGGGGCCTTTGATGTAGTTCAAGACCGAGGCTGCTACGTAAGCCAAATAGCCCGCGCTAAGATAATCTCCAGTCTGGAGATAAGATGTCATCGGTGCGCTTAAACCGTTCACGGAGGCCACCAGTTCATGAAACACAACAGCTAGCCGTCGACTGTTAAGTGGGTTCTGTACGTGGGCCTGTAAAGTCACTTGGGTAAACGCCCCAAGGGAATTGTGGACTTGAACGTAAAGTGTCAGGGCGTACTTCTGAGAGGGCACTCCAACTGGGAGAAAAGAGGGAGGAGTTTTAGGCCGATAACCAAAGTACAGGATTGTGCCAAATGTATTTTCCTCGACGGAAGTTACTTTGGTGGTTTTGGGTACATTGGAAGCTACTATCACTTTGTATGTCAGAGGTGAATTGCTGTCAGAAAATCCACTGCACTGAACAACAAATTTCGTCAGAAAGGCTGTACCCCAGCGTGGGCTGATGGTACATTTGCCAGCCGTCGGAGGAGAATTGACCTGAAACGCGTGTCTGTAGATTGAGGACCTACCATCCCAGGTCGTTACTTTCAACAGAAGTACGTAGGATCGATGTGCAGTCTTTGTGAAAGTCAGAGCATGTATAGACAGGTAAGCCCCAGACCTGCCCGTTGACGTTCTGGCAGACCAGTCAAAGCTAATTTCTGTAGAGTTTTGTGAAAGAAGGGACCAGTAGTAGGCTGGCTGGCTGGTTGTTCTGCAGTTTAGGCATTTTCCAGACAAGGCAAATCTCTCCGTTGGAATTAGAGTGCTACCACAGTTTTCAAGGCACATCACGTCCAGAAGGAGTGGGGAGCCGGGCCGCACCTCTACAGTTTGGTCGGCGTAACTCCTCCTGGTGTCCTTTTCAATCACGAGACGGAAGTAGTATACGGTGTTTCCTGGGAGCGATTCTGGTGGCACTGCTTGAACTGGACCCGAGGATGTTAACCATTTCAAATCCCGCTGGGCTGGATGGCACCTGTTCCCTGGACTGAGTTTCATATTCTTATAGTCTGACACCTCTTTAGTGCAGTACCAAGTGAATGTGATTCCCTTCAGTCCTTCCTGTGAATCGGGATCACTGGATGCAGAGCCATCCAGAGTCCAGTTATCAGAAAAACCCACTGTGCGGAACGTGCCTCCTGCAATGTCTGCCTGGAGATCGCTTCTCTCGATCTGAATATAAACTTGATCTGAGCCCCTGAGCACTGTTGTGGTCCGAATCGGGGTTACCTCGACAGTGAAATAAAACAGGTACAGCCCATAATCTAGAGTAAAACTGGGAACAGTTAGGCGGATCATATCGACGCCGTACATCGCAGAAGAGTTTATCGGTTGTGTCCAGTTGGGAACCGTGGTCGTGTCCGGAACGGAATAGATTCGCCACAAGGGCTTGATGAATATACCGACTTTGCAGTCTACTACCAGTCTGACAAAGAGGTAAAAAGATGTCGCCCTCTTCTGGCGCAGGACAGAGGCGTGGAGAACGGGTTTCTGAATCTGCACGGTTTGTATGTGGCAGGCTTGTTGGTGGCAAGCCACCGGCGCTTCCACGGTTTTGGCAGCGTAGTTGTTGACTCTGACTCCCAAAAGAGCCGGAGTATGTGCACTTGTGGTACAGTCCACTTTTGCCGCAAACCCCGTGTATTTGTCCGGATCAAAGGGTAAAGCGGAGCGACGGACCAAACGTGTGGCGTTTCTGACGTGATCGTTGTATGTGTACGTGCTGTTCTGGAGAAGGTGGTCTCTGCGCGCTCCAAAAAGCTGCAGGTGGAAGGTCCACTCGCACTGTAGCATCGGGTGTTGTGCAGGGATAAACCACACTAAATAAGTAAAGCTCTGTGGCAAAGAAGGACGGCCGCTGCTGAAAACGTGGACTTCAAGGTCTCTTTCTGACAGGGGCCTAAACAAAGCCCTCTTCTGGTTCGTATAAAGGTGCATGTTGAACTTGTACCACTGGAAGGCCACCAGCTCTATGGAGAGTAAGTAGGAGAGCTCCTTGTGTTGGTAGAACACAGTGTGCGTGTTAGGGCCGTCCGCGGAAAGAGGGCTGTTGTTTTCTCTGGTTGCGTAAAATGTTCCGTGGTGGTACCTGACAATGTGAGTGCTCAAGGTGGTCTTCCCCAGCGGAAGGTTGACACGGGTGGGAGCTTCTCGGCCTGCGGTTAGGCTCAGGGTACCGTTGCGTAGATGCAGATCTCCCGTCAGTTCCTCGAACCTCTCTCCGTCAACGTGGAAATACATGCTGGCCACCGCCACCTCACCTGGGCTCTGAGTTACGGGAACGGCACAGAAGTTGCTCTGCAGAGTAAAGGAACCGTAGGAGCGGAGCCAACCTCCTACGGCCTGCGTGTCCACCAGCCTGTAGGCCAGCGTCCTCGGCGTGAGGGGCTGAAGCCTCCAGGAGAGGCTGAGGGGCTGCCGAGCGACGCTGAGGAGCCTGGAGCGGACGCTGAGGAGCCGCAGCGGGCCGGGCTGCACCTGGAGAGAGAGGCTGAGGTTCAGCTGAGGCACCTGCTCGACGCTGACCGAGGCGACGTGGAGCCCGTGGTGGCCGTAGCGGACGGTCAGGCGGTAGCTGTGGTAGGCGGCGCAGGTCCGTCGCAGCTCGGCCGTTGGGTAGGCGGCGGGCGGCGGCGGGGCTCACCTGGAGAGAGAGGCTGAGGTTCAGCTGAGGCACCTGCTCGACGCTGACCGAGGCGACGTGGAGCCCGTGGTGGCCGTAGCGGACGGTCAGGCGGTAGCTGTGGTAGGCGGCGCAGGTCCGTCGCAGCTCGGCCGTTGGGTAGGCGGCG